CTGAACCCAACTCAAAAGGAGTCAGGCATATTAATTACATAGCAACTGGGTTGTCTTCTGTCGGTTTGTGTAAACAGACACAGAGACAGACAGACATACACACACAGACACAAAAAAAGGGGGGGGGGCTCTTTTGCAGCTTTTCTGAAACCTCAAGTGAAGAACTTCAAAAGAAAGACACAGGAAAAGAGCACGCTTAGGTGAAATAAGAGATTGAATGTTGTGGGTTTTTCAGGAGACATGAGGGGAAAAAACATGGTAAAAAGACATAGCAAAAGGTGTTACTGGATGGTAAACAGGAATATGCACAGCTGAGACTGACGTGTTTTAGTGGGCTGCTGATTCAAAATCTTAGCTCCTTCTTACCCTATCCCCTCATACCATCCGTGTTTTGCAGTTAAAAAAAAAAATCTTTTAATCCCTTTTAACAAAGTAACCATGCTGCCCTTCTTGCCTTTGATATTCCACAATATCTGAGTACCACATCTCCCCCAGTTACCCACTTTTCCTCCTCCACTACAAAAAATAACACTAGCTAGAATGTAAGTGTCATATAAGCTCCATTTTCACTTTGAATACACCTATAAAAACCTCCTCATTCCGGTCTTATGACACAGCAGGTTTTCAACAGAACCTTTGTTACCGCAACATGAACAGCACAATGGATGTATAGATGAAACTGTGGTCACGCAGTGCATCTTACCACACCACTCCTACGATCAGCTCCCCAGTACGTGGTCTTTTTGTCCAGCTCCATGACACAATGACTTGGCTATCTACATCAGCAGTATTTCCAGAGGCACTTTACATTGCGTTCCTCAACACATATACAAGGTTGTAATTTTTCTGGCAACTCTCTCGTTTCATACAAAATGGCAACAGGGTGGGAACTATTCACATAAGAGTGACCATACTAGGAAAGACTACACCTTCATCTAGTCAAAAGTGGCCACCAACAAGCATCTAGGAAATAATAATAATAGAACAAGGTGGCAAGCATATACTTGTATTTCTTTGGCATCATCTCCCAAGCACCACCGATTGGTGACTCCAGGCCTTCTTGAGCTAGAGCTAACCAGATGTTTAGAAAAGGTTAAGTATCACCTGTACCTTAAGCACATGCCTACCTTCTCAGCAGTCCGGTTCCAGACAGTGACAGTGTGACCCATCTTCAGTAAGTTGGAGACAATGCCACTTCCCATCAGGCCAAGTCCCAGAAATCCTATCCTGAGGGGAAGAGATAAACATTAATGCAACAGAAAGCAATTGGTGTCAGCCTCTTGTGGTCTTGAAATGATGAAGAGCAAATCCTGGAGCATCACCAGAAAAAAAAAAAAATCCCAAAACCACAACAAAACCAAACATGTTCCACTGTAGCCACAGCCAGAATGGGCAGATACTGAGCTTTAAAAGCAAGCTGGTATTTATTTTGCTTACGAAGCATCCCTAAATTTCCTGAAGAAAGTCTTTAGTCTGCTTCAGAAGACTACCTAAATATTAAAGGTTTGGTGGTCTGGGTTTTTTTTGTTTGCTTGGGGGTTTTTTGTTTGTTTGTTTTGTTTTATTAAAATTGCTGCTCTTGTGCTTTCTGTTGCCAGCCACTGCCTTATTGAAGATAAAGGGAACATTCAGAGATCAGCAGGTGCTTCTTTAATTAAATCTTCTGATTTTTAAACTAAGTCACATGTACAATGACTTGCTTACACTATTGAATGATACATTACAATCTTTATTTTAATAAAGCCCAGCAAGGACTACTGGGCTAAGCATCACACACAGACCAAAGACCTAGTCGCTGCTCTACAGCTGTGATTTTGGACAGACACAGAAAGAAAGGAAGTAATAGGCCAGTACAGGTCACCATGAGCGACAATACAACAGTCCCAGATACCAGCTGCCTTCCCCCATGTCCACCCCCCCGCCCCGCCGCTGGCAAGAGTTTTGCTCCCCCCCTTCAAGAAAAAGACAACGCACTAACAAGTTCCATCCCTACAGTTACCTGCAACAGGAATTGCTGCAAGGATCCTTTTATACATCATGCAGCTAGCTTCATACCAAACCCACAGCTCTAGTAGGAGATTCTGAAGTGTTCAGTTACACATCTGATTTAACTTCACAATGAAATCTGCCTGGCAATTCCCCAGTTAATTCTTCAGAATTAGCCACACTACAGATGCGCTGTGGCTTTTGCAAGCCACCTGCACTCTCCCAGCTAGCCATGCTGCCTTTTGTTAGAGCAAACTAACTTAGACAGGTCAGAGCAAGTCACTACAGGCTCCTTAAACAGCCCAAACAAGGTCCACCTATTTTCAAGTCTCTAAAACAGAGGAGATATTCTTTCTCTCCCAACCCACCTCTGAGCCACGCTTTCCTAAGAGACTGTTTTACCTGAACAGCTTCATTGTTATTTTGGTTCCCCTGGAGTACAGCTGAGAACTGACATCCCATGAGAACGACCCCAACGGCAAACAGCAAGCTGTGGCCTGAACTCAATTTGAACAGAGCGGAAGTTACAGAGTGAAACAGGAAGCTCAAGTTAGGCTTCTCTCACTCTAGAAAGGAGAAGGGGGATGTTAGAAGAAACCAGAAAGCTCACGTGCTACAGAGCAAAGCTCTTGTGCTGGGAGAACACGCCTCCCTCTTCCTCTTGTCTTCTACATGCTCGCGATTAAACAACCCCAGTCAACTGCCAGGCACTACTGGAGAAAGATACCTTTTTATCTTTCTGCCCCATACAGCGTTCAGAAATACTGCTGCTTAATGTTCTGCAGTATGCCCTACAGGAAAAGGGTGACTGCAAAAAAGCCCTGAATTGCAAATGTATCCAGGCCAGACCTTATTCTGAATTTTTCTACTGTACAGCCCATTTGTTTTTAGCTGCCTCCCCCCCCCCCATCCCCTCAAATCAGTTTCACACAAGGACAGAGGAGATCTGTAGTTAGAGGGAAATGTTAGGTTTATTTATTCTCAGTGACAAGCTGGATAATGGCTGCACGTATGAGCTCGGAAGGAGAAAAAGGAAGGGAAATGGCTGAAGTGCGTTGGAGATCTTACTTTTTGTCTGTAGGCGTGATACTGCCATTGACTGCTGTGCTGTCTGCTGCGGGGGAAAAAAAGAAAAAATAGAGTGCACAGCTCTGGAGGAACTGCAAGTCCACATGACAGCAAGGAAAATCCATCAAAACCAAGATTTGCCTTACCTCTTCACAAACCTTCAGCTTCTTTGTGATGGCTTGATAGCAGACAGCTGGCTGTATGGAGAAGACAAAGCATTCAGGGGAAGGACAGTGCTGATTTGCTCTGCTGAGCAAACAGACCATATCCTTGTTACATAGAAACAGGCAGCTCACCCACCCACCACCATCTGCGGAGCAGGAAAACTCTCAGGCTTCCCTCAATGGGAGAAAATAAAACAAAAACCTATTGCAACATACTAAGCTCTTCCTTTCCCACCCTGCTCCAGCAATTCAGCCTGTCTTCTGATACAGGTACTGCAAACTCCTTCCTGTAGCTCCTCTGTCAGGCTCCTCTAGAGGCAAGGATTCAGGGCATCCCTACTTTCACATTTGGCCCAAAGAAAACAGAGACCTCTAAAGCCTGCCATAGAGCACCTTGTCTCATATCTATGCTCAGTATGTCAATGCAGCTGCAGAAGCAAAACCTTCTTGTTAATGTGAGAAGGCACGTGGCTTTCAACAAACGTTAAGGTGAAGGCTGCTCCTTCCCCTGCTGCTTATTGTGAGCTTGTCTAGATTAAAACCGTTAGCTGCTCTTAATCCTTCTGGCTCTGCCCAGATCCTCAACTAGATAGAAATCCTTTTTCATTTAATTTGATCTTTCCTTTTCCTCCTGATGTTCACTGCTGAAGATAAAATCCTGCAAGGCTTCTGACTCTCAGGAGATAAAGTGGCTACATTTTACATGGAGCTTTTCTGGTCCTGGAAATTCTCCTGTCATATTCAGTTAATTGACAAGTTCATCCAGCTGAAGGAACTGGTAGGACAACCAAAGACAATCAAACAACAAGGTTTTTAAACAGAAAAACAGCTTTTCCTACCCCTCAATGTTCAAGCTACAGAATTTACTACAACAGATCTGTCAAATCCTGGTGCTAGATCATCTTTAATTACTTAAACTATTCACTGTACTCAATGCTAAATCATTCTAAACCTTCAGGTTAGGAGAAAATTGAACTACAAGATTGCACGTGAGAATCTAATTGCCGCTAGCTCCCAAAGAACAGAATTTCAGAGCTCTTTATGCATACTCCTTGTACTTAGTCCCTGCAAAGGGCAGGATGCCAAGCTAGACAGACCAGCAGAATGATCCTGTCTGCCGAATCCTCACCTTCTCTGTCTGGCTCATTTTTTTTTGCAGGAAGTGATGAAAGTGTGGATCACTGTCCTTCACAGGCTACAACGAGAGAAAGTACATGCTCAGAAACATTCCCAGAGAGTCACTGAGCAACGACAGCACAATTTCCTTGTTCTCCCAAGCTGCATGAGAACAATAGCTTAAGGTGGAAAATATATAATGTATCAGCTCTATCAAGCAGCCTGCTTCAATTAAGCAGTTTATATTGTGTTTCATTCTCAAAACCAAAGCCATTCAAGCCAAATTCCTCATTTTTGGACATCTGTAGGAAAACCAAAGAAAATTATGAGCAAGATTGACATGGGAAGAAGAGATCTCATATCCCACTTCTTCCTCTTCCCAAGGGAATGAAAACACTTATTTTCCAGCTTCCAAGGAATTCCTTAAAACAACATTCTAGGAATTGGCTTGAGATTACACCTAGCACTGTTACATGCTAGGCAAACCCACATTAACAGCAACAAGGACTGGAGGCCCAGGTATCTCACTTCCCCGATGAGCACCATATGCGCTAGCCTAGAGCCACGCTGCTTTTACTCTGCTTTACTGACCACTTATTTATGCACAAAAATGAAAGGTTTCCAAAAGCTCCTTACGAGGGAAACCAAATGAAACCCACCCCATATGATAGTATCCAGACAGGGAGAGACTATCCACATCATCTCCTTCAGTTTTGGGAAGCCTGTCCCAGAAATACTTTTCACAGAATCACAGAATGGTTGGGGTTGGAAGGGACCTCTGGAGATCATCTAATCCAACCCCCCTGCTAAAGCAGGTTCACCTAGAGCAGGTTGCACAGGACTGCATCCAAGCGGGTTCCGAGTATCTCCAGAGAAGGAGATGTGCAAAAATGAGTGCTGCAAGTTAAGTGTGAATCTGCAAATGGTTCCACAAAGACTGAAATCTCACTTCCCAGCATACTTCTTAATTGCCCAGGATATTGCCTAGCTTTGTTACACTACAGAATGACAGAATGAGAGCTTCTTATTTTGTTCCTATGGGGGGAAGAGAAGTTCTCGCTATCTTACAGTCCAGACAAAAGGTTCCAGATTTGCTTCCACAAACTCGGTTCCTAGATCGCATATGTTGTAAAGTTTCTCACCTCACTGACGCTTGGCGGCCATTTAAATCCAGCCACTGTTCCAGTCATCACTCTCTTCACTGTACTTGACTCTGGAATTGTGAGGTCCTGAGGAGACAGAAGGAAGATCAGAAAGAGCTTACAACCTGGCTCAGTGGCTGGCCACAGCACGTTGGTCATATGAGCACACATACAGAGTTTTGAAAAGCACTACAAATGCCTTCCATTTCATATGCCTTGCATGAAGAGTTCATATTTGAACACACAGCCTATTACCAACACAGGTGAGCTGAAGAAAACATGAACTGCCAATGAAGGAATTCAGTCACAGTTACGGCTTCTGGGGAATCCATTCTTCACATCTAAGAGGAATCATTGCACTTGTGTAATCATGCAAAGCACAGAGAAGCAAACAAACACACTTGATCCAGCATTTTCCTCTGGTGGATGCAAAAAGCCGAACAAATGGGTGAAGAGCATCACCACAGTCAGATGTCTGAAGTCTTCTAATCCTCCACTATCATAAAAAAGTAGCCTACCTGTTAACAGGAGAACCTTCAAAGCATGAGGCTGATAGTCACATCTGCTCAAGTTTGCAGAATCCATGAGACAGAAACCGATATGTGGACTGCCCCATTCACTCAAAAGGCCCCGATTTGTAATGTCATGATAATACTTAACGCATCAGGTTTTTTACTGTTGAGTAGATTAAAATTTATCTTTCTTATTTCCCCAAGATATATACGTTAAAATAGGTCTTTATGCTATAGGTCATAGACATATGTTATAGACATATAGGTCTTTATGCTATAGGAAGAGAATGTACAGGACTTCTGCATACTATGCGTTATCTTCCTGAAATGAGGGTCCAGAAATGGAATCACACTATCTCCCCTGCAATATTACTTCCTGAAAATGCACAATATACCTTAGTGTCCATGCAGAACCACAAGGGAAGAGCACTCTTTGCAAAAAAAGGCAAGAGCAAGACTCCTGGAGGTAACCCAGATTGATGCAACTGTTTCATCTCTTAGCAGGGACAACTTAGACATCAGTCTCCAACCTTAAAGTGTCATTTCAGTCTAGGGAGAGTCTTGCACACTAAAATTCTCTCCTTAGAGACTATGCTGCTTTTTCAACTGGCGAATCGTGGATGAAGCCTGCTCCGATACCTATGAAGTCATGTTGGACCTTTGAAAATATTCATAAGCTTAAAAATGAGAGTATTTGAATGATCATGTATGCCTACAGAGCATTTCTAGATAGAGCACACCTCTGCAACAACTAGATCCTTGAATTTTGTGCATCCTTATTACTTGGAAAGCCAGAATGTGGACTGTGAGGGGGCCAAAACCCCCAAATCCCAACACTGCAGCAATTCAGAACAGCGACATAAATGGTTTCTACCCTAGGGCTAAGAATTTGGGGAAATTATGAGAATCGGGCAAGAAGACAACAAGATTTTAAAATTATTTCACAGGCTGAAAAATAGTATTAAGGCAGTACTGTTGTATTTTCATGGCAATTTCTTTAATTGTCAGTACATCACTACCCAGAAGCTATAAGGCTAGTTTCCTACATCAGCCTGCTTGTTTTCATGGTCTGTGGCCAGACATTTATCACAGAGCTGGCCATCTCTTTGTGATAAGCTGTTTAAAACCATTCCGCTTGCAATTTGCCAGTAAAATAATTTCTGCTACCACAGTTAACTCAAAGCACTCTGATGCCCTGAGGTAGCTAATACAGTAAAACCTAAGCATGCAATGTGTCAGCACGATCAGAATTCTCCCAGCCATTAGTTTTGATTAATTTTGGAATTAATCTAGCTCAAAGACACAAAAGTATTTTGCAAGTAGGAAAAAAGGCCCCGTGGCTTATTGTAACAGGAATATGCGAAGATACAACATGCTCATAGCAAGATGCTTTGAAGGGCGAAAGTATGTTGCTGGTAAAGTGTTCTCCTGCATCAGTCAAGTCACAAGTTCTGTAATTATTACTAAGAATCCACAAATACGCATCCATTCCTCCCCTCCTCCAACTCCCCCCAAAAGGAGAAACTGATGGGCTCTGCTGTACAGCCTGATTTAACGGAAGCTGACTCAAAAAAAAAAGCGCCATTATTTCCTTCATAGCTACCATCTGAGATGATCAGCTTCATTTTATTACATCAAGAAAGAGTCTGCTGTTCAACCAGTGAAGGCCAATCCATTCACAATTTTGGAGATGAAAGACTACCATCTTGACTTGCATCCTGAAGTGCACTGAAAGCAAAGATTGTGAAGCACAGCATAACGTGATCCCTTTGAAGCACAGGTGAGCAAGCAGGCTGCAGCATGGTTTATCAGCTGAAGTCTCCCAATGGTCTTCACGTGTAGTCTCTGATGGAGTACGTGCATTGTAATCGTCCACTGAAATAATTATCCATTTGGAAAAGGAAGATCTGGACCACAACAGTGAGTTCCACAATAAATAAGAAGGCTGGAACTCTAGATGAGGGTAGACAAAGTACTGGTGGCTATAGTTGCTGCCACAACATCCAGAAATAACAGAGAAGTAATGGGGATAAAATAATAATGCTCCAAGGTCGGACCTCTGTAACGGAGGACAGAAATATATCCTATAGTACAGAAGCTGAAATGAATACAATTAATTCTTCTGGCGGATTCCCCAGGCTATGAGAGTTTCTTCTTTAAGCCCTAGCCCTTAAGAATACCCCACCCTCCCTAAGTACTGAGGGCAAAGTTGAGTGACTACTAATCACTTAATCATACAAAGTAGATGAGATGGGAGAAGTCAGGAATCAGATGAAGACCCACATCTCTTCACTAATCCTTCCCACACAAATTGAATTTGAGGGATGGCAAGATGAAAGGTGGAGTCTCATGATACAGTTCTCAAAGCCCTCTCAAAGATATGAACAGAGCCACTCAAAATAACTAACTGGTAAAAATTACAGGAAGAATCAACAATATGTTTGCCAAAGGTATCAGGCAGCCAAATGGTCTAGAAGTAGTAACACGGAACAGCTTAGAAAAACCTGATACTGAACTGATTCTTCCTGCTGGCCTGTTAGTCAAGGTGCCAGTCAACCCTAGAGTGCATCTGCAAAGTCCACAGGGCACTGGCGGACATGCACAACACAAACCTTCTCATCCTTGGGCGGACGCCCCCGCTTTCGGGGGCTCTGATCCTGGGCTCTTTTCAAAGGTGATTTTGATCCTCTCTCTGACGATACAGAAGAGACCCTCTTTTTTCCTTCCCCTGTGCCCTTCTTCAACTTCCCTTCAGACAAACTGGCTTTGCGTTTCTCTTCACCAGCAGATTGCTTGCCTCTTTCTTCACTGGAATTACGCCGATTCTTCTCTTCATTGGAGTTATGGGAAGACGCCTGAGAGATTACAGAATAGAAGATGGTAAGGAAAGAAGAGGAGAGCTGGAATGATTTTCATGCAAAACCAAGGATGTGAAGGACCCTGTGCTGATTACTATCAAGCAAAACAACAGCACAGTAACTTGAAAACTAGATACTTGTTAGCCCTTTGAAGTCGGTGAGTGAAGTTCCTGGTTAGTTCTCCTGCAAAAATACATCAGTTTAAGTAAGCGGTATCAGAACAGGCCACTTGAAGACTTGCTGGGAGTGCGTGCAATGTGCACTTCCAATATACTAAAGACAAGATTAGCAGATATCAAATTCTAGCCCAAGACTTAAGACTGATTTCTCAAGTCATCATAAGCAGATCAATTAGCCTCTTCAGTTTCTCCATCAGTTTAACAACATCTTTTTCCCACCAAGCAAGACTGAATGGGGAAGAAGAGAGAATGGGGGAAAAAACAAAACAACAAAGGAATGAAAACTAACCCCTCCTCAAATTGCCAGAGGCAACAAACTCCTTTCACATAAAAACGCATCTGACCATCATTCATGCCAAGACTTGTTTTGATGCACACAGTAAAAAGGAACCCACTCACCTGGTCCTTGCCTTTGGTTTTTCTAAGAAACTCCTCTACAGCATCCACAGCTTGCTGGAAGCGCTTACCCTTGTTAATCTTTATCATTTCCTCTTTGTGAGGGTGATAAGGCTTCAGCTGCTCCACTTTGATCCAAGCACTAGAAACCAAAAAACCAAGTTAGTTATATTCTCCAAACAGGAACTTTCTCAACCATCCCACTTTTAGAAACACAGACACACTTTTTTCTCCAGAGCAACTGATGATAGCAGCCCAAACTCACTTCCCTTCTACAACCTGAAGGGGCGTTGTTTAAGCATTCACCGAGAACTTTCTTCTCGCACTTTTACTTGGTTTGTCTCTCAAGTTTTATATCCTTTCATGTTAGCAGTGCTCTGCTCTAAGCATTATTCATATTCTCTATCAGCGAGACAGCTTTTTGATGTGATCATAGGTACTTGTTTAGAACAAAGGCAGTCTAGTGACTGCTCTTGTATCACCAGGAGGAATATCCACAATCACATGCCTCCACATAAGGTAGCCAATAATATGAATCTGCTCAAGAGGTTGTTGAAAGTGGAGGCCATATAACAATTCTAAGCCATCAATCCCTTGTTCAAACATACTGTGCACACACAAGTGTCTGCAAAAAATGGAGGAAAAAACCCCAAAATTACGTATCTCACAATAGAGCTGACCACAAATAAAGAGAGTGCATACACCACAGCTCATTGCTGAACATAGTTCTGATGTATCTTGATATTCTGTACGAAAACAACATTTTCACTTTTGAGGAAAAAAAAAAAAAGTTTTCTTCACTGTTGATATTTTAAGAGAAACTGGTACAGTAACAGAGTATTAACCTAACTGCAGTCCTATGAGGAAACTCAAATGACTTCCCTGTTTCCACTGCTGCTAAATAGGACTTCTTGACATTTACCAAATGGTTAAGTGGTCAAGTACAGGGGGACAACTCCACTTTCCTTCAGGCTGACAAGCTCTTCTACCACTCCTTCACTGAGGCTTTGGGGAATGCCTTTGCTTGCAGCATTCCTTGTGGTGCTCGCAGATTAGACTACCTTCCTCTCTCCCCAGATTCCAGCCCAGGCTTATCAGCCACACTGCTACAAAGCTATTTCCATCCTACTGAAAACAGACTTGTATAAGTTTTAGAAAAGCTCTTCCTGAGCTAGCACGTGCTTCTTAGCATACAGCAGCCCAGCACACAGTAAAAACCAGTCAAGCTGATTTTCCCTGGTTGCAAAACATCTCTATGTTACAAACACCAACTAGCCATGATTATAGGTTTTAAATATTCTCCAGCATGGTCTAGCTCCTGCAAGCAGGTAAAGTGGTTTAATAGCTGCCTTTTCAGACACTGTAAGCATCATGTCATACAGCTAAACTGAACATAAAGGTGAAAATAACAACAACAACAACAACAATAATGCTTTGCTGGATCTTGCTTGTCCTCTCTTCACGAAGTAGTAAAGCCCAGTAAACTCTTTGAAACTTCATGGAGATCTTTCTCTTCACTGGCATTAGCCATTGTCTGTAGTCAGGAATCAACTTGCTTAAGGTAGACTGCAACTTTTTGGGTCACATTTGGAGAGATGAGGCCTCCTGCTAGAACTGACCACAGAAAACGCTAGCATCCTTTCCACACTGCCAGTATAGCCTACACCATGATTCCACCTTAGCCTGGAAGCAGAACCCAGTACTCTTTTGCACGCAAAGCTGAATCCTTTTGCTTAGTTTACACCTTCTTCATAATAACTGACTTAACATATTATAATGAGTCAAATCATTACTTTCAGACTAGAGCCTGCCATCCAGCAGCTATTCAGAGAACCCCTCCTAGCTGCCCAGACTACATAGTGAAACATATCTTAAAATTCACTTATACTGTAAAGCTCTTCTGTGTGGCACTCAGTGACAAAGCATCCCTAGGCACTAGACAACATCAGCTCATGAGAAGGCTTGCCATTATGTATATAAAGGAAACACAATTTTGGTGTACATTATAATAAAGCATGTTAACCGTTGTTGCCGGATTTGAACTTCTAAATAAAATAATTATTTTTCTATCAAAGCATTCTCTTAGGTTTCTGCACATCCTATCCCTCCTCACTGCACATGTTCATTAGCTTCCTTTCTCATTACTTTTCCTTTGGCAAGTCCGAAGCACAAAGCTTTCTGGCTCCTGGCTTCAGAGGTCCCTCTTGGCACTTGTGATCCCCCAGGACAAAGAGCTAGAGATATCAGACAAACTAGTTTAAGTGAAAAACAGTCTTAAATACTGTCTCAGGGTTAAAAATAAATAAATTAAAAAAACAAACAAAACCAAAAGTCTTTTCCTTTCCAGTTTATCCTTTGTGTGTCACCTACCTGGACAACCTTCTTTAAGATACGAACATGTCTTTTGACACCAGATATCCATAAAGCATTTGCGTGAAATGTTTCAAACACTTGAAAATGAAAGAACTTTCCACCAAACAAAATCATTCATGTTTATACACAAGATCTCTCCCTGTTAAGCGATAACCTCAAAGCCAATGGAGGCCAATATTTAGGTAAGAGGTCCCTAGGATGCAATGTATAAAAGGAACTACTATTTCTCTCCTGACTCAGCAATGAATTAATGCCCTAGAAAAGCATTAGTGACATTACATTACTGAAGATGTCATATTTAAGATTAACTTGTATTCATACTGCTGCAGAGAGTCATCTGGTATCTCTAAAGAATGGACTAGATGTAAATGGAAATAGATGTTAGAAAATACATGAAATGGAGATACATGTTAGTAATGGGTTTCTCTGCTCATTTCTCCATACCCTTCCTCATCCCCTTGAAAATATCATTCTTATAAAACCACTACTCATGTAAAATCCATGTTATATTCATGAACAATAATCAAAACTTAGAATGCTTGTAAAGCAGAGGCAAGTAAGAATGTGACCTGGAGCTGCGTGGAAAACAGTGGCACAGAGGAGATGCAACCAGAGATACCAGATTCAAATCCATTATACAAGCTTAGCACAGGCAAGGAGACCTTAAAACCCCCGACTTGCTAGCCACTCTCTTCCAGTCTAAAGACATCAATTCTTAATGACAAATTGGAGAAACAGAAGCAGAAGAATATCCAGAAATACTCACTTTTTGCAAGTCTTACAGTTAGGGATGGAAAACAGCGGCACTGTGTCTCCAAATTTCTATTACTTACTACAGTCTGGGAAAAATTTCATAAAGTTTTACACTGTAGCAGTTTAGATGCCCACACTAAATGCTAGCACAACCAATTTTGAAAGTCAAAAGAAAACTGCTTGGTTATTTACAAGCCCAGTGTGTGCAAGCACACAACAGAGAAATCGAGACGGGTTTCCTGCTGTTAAAAGGGAATGCTCCGATATTCATCAGTAAAACAACTCAAATGGCTGCACTCTGGAATTTGATATGTAGACTTCTTAATGGAAAAAACAGAAAAATGACCACACTAGATTAGAATAAACGTCCATGCAGCTAAAAGGAGTGGATACTTAGCAAAAGAAAACAAGCAGCCATGCAATACTGAAAGAAATTCTAAGTATTAGGTTTTTCAAATTTGTGCAATAAAAAAAAATTGCAGAGTACTTACACATCCAAAGGTATCAGTAAGAGGTAGGAAAGTTTTGACTATAGTAATTTTCAGTTATAGCACTCTGCCTGCAGAGATGTCTAACGACATTCCAGCTGGCTCTGCTATACAGCAGTACTGGCTAGAGCAACATAGAGCTCTGCATGGGATAATCTGCCTAACTGAGAAACACCAGCGATGTAAACTAACCCTCTCTGTCAGCTTCGGCTATACCCTCTGGCTCCTCAGATTGCCAAGTACCATGTTCAACACCTGGCAAACTTTAAGCAAGTGTTTTTTAATGTCAGGACCTGAAAGAACATTTTAGAAAGATTACATCCAGAAATTTCCCTCTCCTTGAAAACCAGGGAGAACAGTGGCAGAAGAAGAGGGTAGGTGGTTTGCATCCCAACAGGATATGGAGGATGGTAAGGCAATGAGTGCTGCGCTAAAATCACTGTGCATGATGGAAATAGGCTGCAGATTATTATACTTATCTTGGATTGCAAGCTTCCTCCAATTTTTCCCTAATATATCAAGTCAGGAAGTGCCCCTTGACCCCACCACGTTTAGTGAGACTGTTTAGTTTTGTACTGATGCTTCAAAGAGGTGCTATGAGTAAGAATGGACTGCTCCAGCTTCCTATTAAGACTTTGATATACATGACTTGCAAGACCATTTGGCTATTACAGAATATCTAAGGGGGGGGGCAAAGATGGTGGAACGGGAGGTGAATATGTGTGTTTCTACACATATCTCTGATGACTGCAGGACCCTCCTATGAAATGTAGTAGAATGATACCTTCAAATCAATGATTTTTTTTTTTGTTTTGACAACGTCATAGAATCATAGAATCGTTAAGGTTGGAAAAGACCCTTAAGGTCATCGAGTCCAACCGTTAACCTATCACTGCCAAGTCCACCACTAAACCATGTCCTCAAGCACCACGTCTACCCGTCTTTTAAATACCTCCAGGGATGGAGACGCA